CCCCCCCCCCCCGCTCTCTCTCTCTCTCTCTCTGCCACTTCCTGTTCAGTGGGTCATGATCCCGCCCCCAACACAGTGTACGCACATGCCCCCCCCCCCCCCGCCCTCTCTCTCTCTCTCTCTGCCACTTCCTGTTCAGTGGGTCATGATCCCGCCCCCAACACAGTGTACGCACATGCCCGGCTTCTTGCCCCTCTCCCCCCTCCTCCTCCTTGTCTCTTCCCAATGACGATCAACAGGCATTTGTCTGAATGGTCCTTGACCCTGACGATAAAACCCAGCTACCTAATTCTCTTCCGAGGAAACGCCCCCATTCTCTTTCCTTCCTCCCCTCTTCTCCCCTCTCCCGATCTCCTCTGTCTCTCTCTAACTCCCTCTTCTTTCTTCTCCGTTTCCAGTCTTTGCACGGACCGCTCGTCGACAGCCCCTTCTCCTCTCCTCTTGGTCACCAGCACGGCCTGCCTCATTCCGCCCCCAGTTTCATGGTACATATGCCCCTCTCTTCCCCTCCCCCCTCTCTCCTTACTGCATCCCCCGAAGTGAAGACCAAGATTCTCTAGATTCACCGTGATCGTTTTAAAACTACAATTCTCTGATTGCATTTCCCCTTTCTCTCTCCTTCTCTTTCCTCTTCCCTTTCCGTCCTTCTAACAATTCCTCCCTTTTTAGGCATTCTCTCCCTCGAGCTATGGCGCATCATATCCCCCATATGTGCCTTCTCCTCGCCGATGTACCTGCCTCTTTCCACACTGTGTACGTCCCCCCCTCTCCCCCCTCCCCCTACCCCCCACCCATCCACATGCACCTTCCCCATGTATGTGTGTCCTCCCACATTTGTCACAGGGTGGGCTTTCCTCTGCCTGCCTCGTCTCTTCTTTCTCCGGGAGATGTCGAGTTTGGCAAGAGAGAGGGCTCCATGGCGCGCTCGCCCTTGTGCATCAATGTGTGGTTGGAGAGAGGAGCTCCTCTTAATGATGGTGTAATTTGCGTACGAGAAGATGATCGGAGACACACGCCAGTGTCATCAATCCATCATCCATCGCTGACTTCCAAATCTCTCTGAACCCTCCTCCTCTTTCGCGCTCTCTCTCCCCACCCCCCTCCGCCTCGCTTGCCTTTTCTAACACACGCCCCTCCTCCTCCAGACCCCGCCTTTTGTGCTCTCCCCGGGTGCCGCACGCGCCTCCCTCCCGTCGTGTCTTCACGTACGGCGAGGCCGGCCTCCTGTGCACTCGCGGCTGCGCGCTGCCAGGCTCGCATGGTGCTCGTTCACCGCGTTCCTCCTCTCTTCTTTTTTCTTAAAAATTGAAATTTGAGATCTTCTCAGGGCGGGGGGCGGAGGGGCAGAGGGGCGAGGGGAGGCAAGACAGGAGGGGGAGCTGCGGTTGATAGTGAGAGAGAGCCACGGAAGGCGCCCGGCATGCGTATGTGTGTGTGTGTGTGTGTAGCAGATGTCCCTCTTGTGTATCAGCAGTGCCGTATTGCGGGACACAGGACTTCCTCCACGTTGACGCGCATGTGGCTCTAGTCCCTTTTGGCGAAGGAGGAGGGGGGGAGAGGACCAGTGCAGATGCTCCCACCAGGCGTCCGGATAGATGCCCGGAAATCCTGGCCAGATGCCAGCGGACTGGGCCCCTCTGTTCGCGCATTGCCCTCTCTGCCCTTGGGGGGGGGGCGGGGTGGCTCGAGCGCGGAGCACGTCTGCCTGCCCGGTCTGTGAGAGTGTGCCCACACGGATGTGTCTCTCTGGTGTATGTGTGTGTGTGTGTGTGTGCAGGTGGCTCCAAGAAGACAGGACGAGGGGTCGGGGGCTGCGGCTGCCGCGATCGTCTCCACTTCGGTGTCTAGTGTTCCCGGGAAAAGGATCGCTCCGGGCCCAAATGTGCCCCCCCCCCCCCCCAGGGGTCTCGTGCCCCGTTTGTCGCCTCTGGGCGTTCCCCGTCTTCCGGGGCCCGGCCACCGGGACTGTCTCGATGGGCGGGGTGTTGTGTCGCGAGCTTCGGACGCTTCGCGAACATCCGGCTTGCTTGAGGTGACATATGCCTCGCCCC